TTCCCCAGCCAGCAATTGCTGGCTGGGGAATTCTGGGAGTTGAAGTCCAGACATCTTCAAGTTGCCAAGGTTGAGAAACACTGGACTAGAAGACCTCCAAGGTCCCTTCCAACTCTGCTATTGTATTGTAAAGGAAAGTGCCCAATCGTGTCGATCCCTGTTTCCCCCCCAGGATTGTGTTCCCTCTCCATAAACAATGATAACTGTTACCTCGCCTATCCGGGGAGCGCGAGCATTGGCGAAGTCCAAGTTTTCGACACCATCAACCTGGTAAGATCCTGCAGGTGCTGGACTCCCGACGGTTGGGGTGGTTTGGGGTGGTTTGGGGTGCGGGAGGGCAGGAGCCTCCCTTCTGCGCTAAGGTCTTGTGTTCCGTTCCCGGGCTTCCCCGCAGAGGGCTACCAACATGATCCCCGCTCACGACAGTCCGCTGGCTGCCCTGGCTTTCGACGCAAGCGGTACGAAGCTCGCCACGGCCTCCGAGAAGGTGCGTCGTTTCCAATCCTTTCCCTGGGAAGGAAAAAACAAAAGGGCGGGCGAGGAACTTGGGTGGATCCAGAGGAGTTCTCGAAGGGGACCAGGCGGGCAGAGAAAGCCGGAAGTCCCATTGAGAAGATGGGTTCAAGAAGTGGGCTCCTTTTCTCCCGCAGGGCACGGTGATCCGGGTATTTTCCATTCCAGAGGGGCAGAAGCTCTTCGAATTCCGACGGGGCATGAAGAGGTGATGGCAATTGAAAGATTGGGGGGTTCCTCCTTTCCCCTCCCCCTCCTATTCTTCCTTCCTTCCTTTCCCCTTCCTTCCCTCCATCCTTTCACCTCCCCCCTCCTATACTCCCCTTCCTTCCTTTTCCTTTCTTTCTCTTCCTTCTTCCTTTCCCCTTCCTTCCTTCCATCACTCTCCCCTTCCTTTCACCTCCCCCTCCTTTTCTCTTCCTCCTTCCCTTCCCTCCTTCCGTTCTTCCTTCTCCCTTGCCCCTCCTCCCTCCTATTCTCTCCTTCCTTCCTTTCTCTTCCTTCCTTTCTCTTCTTTCTTTCCTTCTTCCTTTCCCCTTCCTTCCTTCCTTCCTTCCATCACTCTCCTCTTCCTTTCACCTCCCCTCCTTTTCTCTTCTTCCTTCCCTTCCCTCCCTCCGTTCTTCCTTCTCCCTTGCCCCTCCTCCCTCCTATTCTCTCCTTCCTTCCTTTCTCTTCCTTCCTTTCTCTTCTTTCTTTCCTTCTTCCTTTCCCCTTCCTTCCTTCCTTCCTTCCATCACTCTCCTCTTCCTTTCACCTCCCCTCCTTTTCTCTTCTTCCTTCCCTTCCCTCCCTCCGTTCTTCCTTCTCCCTTGCCCCTCCTCCCTCCTATTCTCTCCTTCCTTCCTTTCTCTTCCTTCCTTTCTCTTCTTTCTTTCCTTCTTCCTTTCCCCTTCCTTCCTTCCTTCCTTCCATCACTCTCCTCTTCCTTTCACCTCCCCTCCTTTTCTCTTCTTCCTTCCCTTCCCTCCCTCCGTTCTTCCTTCTCCCTTGCCCCTCCTCCCTCCTATTCTCTCCTTCCTTCNCCATAATGTCACAAATAGTTTGTACAGAGTCCGACAGAACTATGCCAAAGTCTTTCGGGATAAGGATAATAAGCACCCACCTTTATCTCCCTTGAAACTCTGCCAAAGACCCAATTGCCTATTAGCTTTGCAAGGCCACATGGAGCACAGAGTCAAAACGGAGCTGCAGAGTTTAAACCAACCAGAACGAACAAAGTTGCTTCTTGCAAAGGCTCACGTGCCTTTGCTCCTCCTTTATGTCTTATGGATCCCCTCCCCTATTCCTCTGCCTTGCTGATGTCCAACTGTGGAGGCTCCAGAGGCAGTACATAACTCCCAGATGGCCCTGGCCCCCTCTCTGCCTCATCCGAGCCTTCCCCAGACTCCAGGACTGGCTCCGCAGGCCAGCGGTGGACCACAACATCCATTGCTAAACCAGGCTTGGATGTGGCCAGAAAGTGACTCATTCAGCCTTTGGGATACGAGTTTGACCCCCCTGCTATAGTCTCTCCCATTCCTCAGACTAAGTATCTGTTGATCACTCGTAACAAATGGAGAGGCAAGAAGCAAATTCCTTTGCTATGAACATTTTACCAGATTTTTTTTTGGGGGGGGGGTCCTTTGCAAGAAAGAAACCCTAAAACCATTTGTTTTTCAAGGGGAAATTCTGCTAGAAAATTCAGCAAGGCAGAATGTTGTAGTTTCAGATGAGTAGAATGTCTGTCTGTCTGTTCTGAATGAATATCTCTTTGCTGTCTCTGAGAAATCTTGAACAGAGTGAAGAACCAGTTGATTGGAGAGGCTCAAAGGTTTTACCAGATCAGCCGGTCTGACCTCAGTATATTGAAAGTTCATAAAAAAACTGGGTTGCAAACATCTAGAAAATATACCAGGAGTGATCAGCAGAAATCAGCATGGATTTGTGGAGAACTAGTCTTTCTAGGTTAAACTTATCTCAGCTTTCACCAGGCAACCTTTTTAGAAGGAAATGCAGTGGATATCTCAACTTAAGCAAAACATTTGAGAAAGCACTCAATTAGCAAGGTGATTTAGTTGAGTTTGGAAGGTCAGAGTGATATATATCTAGCTCCAAAGTTGAAACCAAAACTGCTTAACATTTTTAATCATTACTTTGGATGAAGAGTGAAATGCCAACCAATTTTACTGATAATACAAAATACTCAAGATGACTACTAATTAATCTCCTGCAGTCTTCCTTTTTGTTTTAATAGTCATTTTAATAGTCATTTCAAAGAGGCTAACAGTGAACAGCCTAATCAAGGAACCATCAAGAATACTTCCACTAACACTGACAAGACAAGTCACTAATTATAGCCACAGCATATAATTAGAGAGCAAATCTCATTACTAGCACTGATAATGTTACCTAGTTTGGTAATGAAATGTCTGCAAAAAGGCAACCAACTTCAGAGGATGCCAAAGACTCCTAGTTTCTAATTGTTGCTAGTTGTATGCTATCTAGAGTCACTTTTAGTGAGATGGGCAGCTGTATAAATTTGCTAAATAAAAAAACACTTCAGCAAACAGGCCAAAATTAAAATAATTTGGACAGGGTAGAGGAGGGGGTGAAAGATCTCCTGCCCTACCCTCCTAATGCACTTGGCCCCAACCTTCCTAGCCTTAGACTCTAAAGTAGGGGTCCTCAAACTACGGCCCATGGGCTAGATATGGCCTGCCAAAACCATTAATCTGGCTCATGCAGGACCACGAGGAGGCCCCATCCACATCGCCCCACCTACACGCCAGCCCCNATTAAAGAGAGAACAGTCAACTTACAGCCCTTCCGTTTCACACCGTTCCTTAGTTAAGGGAATTTAGATGGTGTTTTGCCCTATGCCCCCTACCTCCATTAAAAGCTTTCAAGGAAATTAGGAAACAGACCCAAATGCTCTTTTTTTGGTCATAAACCGGATTCCCTTGTAACGTTGCTATGCTTTCTCAATGATGGCCCAGACCTAGAATGGCTAAGGCTTGGATTTAGGATTGTCAGAAGTTGCAAGTGCCGATGAATGGGAAGACAGACACGGAGCACACAAGACTGAAGTCTCAGTCCTGTATAGGATACGAACACTGCGGCTCCCCTCCCGCCATGGCCAATGCCTCATAAACTGATCACCATTGTTTCACAGGAAATGGCACCTCATGACAACACACAAATTGCCAGCTGAACACACACCCCTCCTCCTGTGTAAGTCACAACTGCAAAAATTAAGAGCGGGATGTGAAGTCTTAAAGCTCTTATAACAGGAGTATTTGACTTCGGTTTCAGGCCAGGTCCCACTGGCGTTTGGGAAAGTCCTCGGAAGCTAAAATGCTTGTATTTCAATCTAACCCCAAAAGTGCAGCGGAAGAAAATGGAAGCGAATGCCTGAGTAATATGCCTAGACCTGGGTTCATCCAGTCCCATCTGCTCCGTTACTGTCGTGTTTAGCATCTCTGCTTTGAAAATAATCTCCTCTCCACGGCCCCTGCTCAGAGTGGACAGCACAAGAAATATATTTCTGTTTACAAACAAGCAGAAGATAAGAGAGCTCCCAATCTTATCCTAAGCCAGCCTTATCTTAAGTGTTTGGCAAATAACCCTCCCGTCTCTGCCAGACCATACCGCAAAAATTGTCAAGAGCGGAAAAACTGCAAACAAAAGCTGCTTTTTAAAATTCTGGGTGATTTAACTGGAGCGAAAAGATCAGGAGGAAGAGTGGCAACCTCAGGCTGGACACCATTTCTATCTTTGGGGGGCGGGGGGGGGGAAGCAAGGAAAACATTTTGAATTCAAAACACTTTTGCTCCATCTATTCTGGGGAACGGCCCTGTCACAAGGTCAAAACATCTGTCTCAAACTTGAATTGAGAGATGCTTTGAATTCAAAACTCTTACCAGGAGGGTCTGGACAGCCCATTTCACAAAAACTGTTCAAAGCCAAAATTTTTCTTCATACCTTCCCCACTTTTAATTCCAGCAGATGTAGAAGAGGAAAATCACACCGACAAAAATTAGAAAGTGGGGGGTGGGGGAGAAAAAGGGGGCAGATGCAGAATTGTGCTTTTTAATCCTCTGCCTGAACTCTTGGGGGTTTTTTGGGAGGGGGAGGGAGGGGGAAAGGAATCAAACAGAGAAAAAAAACCAAATTGGATATATTCTTCAGAAACAAAGCATCCTCTCTAGTAGGACCTTTGATTTTGTGCTGTTCCCTTTGGAGAAGTTCAGTTAAAAAAAATGGGAGCTCAGACCCACATTTTGCCATGCCACCCCCCATATAAGGGGAGGGTCAAAGGTCCCACCAAATAAGACCACAGAAAGGTCTGAGGTTCATTCCCAGTGAAACAAGACTCTTCATCTTGATCACAGAAACAGGGGATCCTCATTCTTAAGATCCCCCTCTTTTAAAATGAATGCCCAGATACAGATTCTGTCTGGGCAGTTGGAAATTCATAAAACTAAGCTGCTGCATAGAGAAGGCAGGAAAGTTGAACAAACTTCTCTGACAATGGCCAGCCATGCTAGGGACATTAAAGCAGCATCTGGCTCCTGATCGGCTCACTAAACCCTAGCCAGGAAGGAAAGCGGGGAGATTGCGGAAATACAAACAAGAAAGCAGTGAGTTATGCAAGAATTTAATGGACAGTGGACAGACAGGTTTGTATATGGAGTTGTTCCCTCCCACCCCAGGAATATGAGCTTTTCCCCCTCCAGCTGGTAGAATTTGCAACAGAACTCAGACAATCTTTGTTTCCGACTCTAAAACTGAACCTGCAGTGGAAGGTGGGGAGAATAAGTACAGTCAATTTTTAGGGAGGAAGGTTCATTTGCTGGCATCTAAGAATAAGCAAACTTTCCTTTCTTTAACTGGGTTTTTTTTTTAATATCTGGGAAGAGACAGAGTTTAAAATGCTGAGATTAAGCCACATTGGTTCCTGGGTGTGTACAGTACAGTGATGGACTTCTGACGGGGATTAAATCCTGGAGTCACTGAGCCCAGGAAGCTGAGAGTGACTTTTCCCTCGCTGTGGGACTTGTTCACAGGTTGACGTCCATCTGGGTGTCTCACTCAGCCCCCAGGCTCAATGCCAAGACTGAATCTGCTGTTGGTCGTATTCAGCTATGAGTTTTTTGATATGGGCCAGTTTGTTGTGGAGATATTCACAGCGGTTTTTTTCCTGGCTGTAATTTGGATTAGTCTGCAAGGGAGAAAAAAAGAAAGAGAACAAGGTTGACTATAGAAGGGAATTTGGTCTAGTGGTTAAGGCACCAGGTTAGAAACCAGGAGGCTGCGAGTTCTAGTCCTGTCTTAGGTGTGAAAGCCGGTTGGGTGATTTTGGGCCACTTTCTCAGCTCATCCTACTCCATTGGCTTATTGGAGGAAGAAACCATACTATGTATGTGCGTCACCTTGAGTTATAGATACTCAACTTATGACGGTAATGGAGTCTGCCCACCCTGATTATTAAGTCATGATGATCGTGAATCGATCACACGTACAACCCCACTTTATGATCCTTTTTTAATGGCGGCCACTAAGCAAACCCCCAGTCCTTAAGCAAACCATTGGTTTGGTATGGGTGCAGTTTTGCAGAAAACAAGAAGTGCCGTTATTGAACGAAACCCTCATAAAATGGAATCACGGGACTGTGGAACTGCTGCAAACGGTCGTAAATGTGACCCTGTTGCTAAGCGCCCAGTCACGTGACCACGCCCCCCTCCCGACCTTTGAAACTTTCAATGGGGTCATAAGCAGCCCCAAGATAAGTCTGTCATAAATTCAAAGGATTGACCAGTGGTAGGTAAATCAAGAGATCTGTATGTATCAAAATAATAAAGTCCCCAACATAACACCACACAAAAGGCAGGATTAAAAAAAAATAGAGGTAGTAGTGCCTTCAGTTAGGATAAAAATACTTCCTGTCCAACTTCAGTTAAGAGTTCTAGATAACAAAACAGAAGGAAGGAAGGAAAGTGAGCAGATGCTGACATCTGATAGCAAAAAAAAAATAAGGACTGCCTCTGGCTTGTTTCTATCGTCTGACCGACTTCAATTTTGCAACAGGCAATGCTTACTGTGAGTTAAATTATCATATTTAATAAACTAGTAGTTTATTGGACAGCTGCAATATACATTTGGTAGACTGTCAAATTCAAATAAAAGGCAGAAGAATTTGGGGTTCCGGTTCATTCATTCTACCCCACCTATAATTTTTTTAAAAATGGCTTTTAAAAAATGGCTTTCGAATTTTAAAATTAGCCATTATGGGAGATAGCTATTGCCAGACTCCTTTTCCTTAGTAAAGGTAAAGGTTCTGCTCGCACATATGTGCTAGNGAAATGGAGATGAGCACCGCCCCCTAGAGTCAGGAATGACTAGCGCATATATTTACCTTTTACCTAATCCCAAACAGTCATTAAATAAATTGTTAAGGATGGATTACCTATTTCTGTGGTCACTAGGGGTCAAAAACAATTTGATGTATAATCAATCAATTAAAAATTGGTGTTTGCCCTTGTATTAGGCCAGAGTGACAGTTGAGCTCATCCTTGGAGGTGGAATATATGTTTGATGGGCACCCACTCTATGCTGTGGTTACATCAGTTTTGCTTTGATTCCTGTCGATATCCTTGGTTTCCATTGTTATTTTGATTATACAGATGTGGCTCGGAGCTGCAATCACGTGCATTTTGGGCAGTCATTTAAATCTTCTAACTTACTGGTGGAAATCCAGTCAAGATAAATGCAAATCACTTCATTTAAGGGAAACTTTTCTTCAGATGGATAAAATAGAAGACCTTCTGACTTGATCTGAACAGGTCTGGAAAGAACATCCAGATTCTTGATTGCAAGCCGAATGGGTCAGGTGTGCCCTACAGGAAGCCTGATGTCCCAACCATAAAACGGAGAAGCTCCACTTTATTCTGGATTGGCTAAATCCTGAGGACAGGACTGTGCTCACCCACAAACTTTGAGGGAGCCCCCATGTGAAAAAGGCAACCAGAAATTAGGTTTTAAAAGGGAGAGGAAACAGAGGGAGAGGAAACCGAGTTTTGCCTTGAGGAAAAACAGGACTAAAGGGGAAAATAAAATTGCAAGTTTACAAGGCCTTGAGTGGCGGTCCCACAGAATAAATCCACGGCATGTTCGCCAAATGCAAGGGGGTATATTAATTTAATTAATCAGGAAGCATTCAGAAGGTGGAAGTAATGGTCTTAAATTACAGGAATAAAAGATACCAGTTGGGAAAAACAACACTTTTAATAGTTGTTAAGAGGAACTAGTTAAGTCAAGGGGTTCTAAACTACTCTTGGGTTTTGGAGTGCTCAAGCAGAGGGTACATCACAATTTGGTTGTTATATTTTGAATGGGATGAACAGAGCAGAGATAAACAAAGCATGAATATTTGCTTTGATTCTCCATTTCAAGGCAACTGATGTGGCACTTTCTGGTCTAATGTGAAAATACTGAAGCAGTATTTATCCTGGGAGCCCATGCTCCTCCAAATTTTGTAGAACTGCTTTAAATCTGAATGTACCTACCAAGATATATTTTAAAATGTGAATTTCAGGATGATTAGCAATCACATTTGTGGCATGGCATAGTGAAAATGCATGGGCATTTTTTTNCATGGGCTAGATATGGCCTGCCAAAACCATTAATCTGGCTCATGCAGGACCACGAGGAGGCCCCATCCACATCGCCCCACCTACACGCCAGCCCCTACCCACCTTCTGGAGGCCAGGGAGGCCAAAAAATGGACCTGGTTTTTTTTTTGAGAGAGAGAGAAATACAGTAGGTAGGTAGGGAGAGAGAGAGGGTTTAGGTAGGTAGAGGGATAGAGAGAGAGAAATAGAAAGAGAGAGAGAGAAATACAATAAGGTAGGGAGAGAGAGAGAAGGTAGGTAGGTAGATGGAGAGAGGGAGAGAGAGAGAGAGAGAGAGAGAGAGAGAGAAATACAGTAGGTAGGTAGGGAGAGAGAGGGGGTTTAGGTAGGTAGAGGGATAGAGAGAGAGAAATAGAAAGAGAGAAATACAATAAGGTAGGGAGAGAGAGAGAGAGAAGGTAGGTAGGTAGATAGAGGGAGGGAGGGAGAGAGAGAGAGAGAGAAATACAGTAGGTAGGTAGGGAGAGGTCCCTCACACACACACACCAAGGCAGCTGCATCCCTTCACTAACCTGCTTTCTACCCCAGGAGCAAAACAAATTAAATTGTATATATTGTTTGGATGCTAAGTTGGCCATGCCCACCCAGTCACATGGTCACCTAGCCATGCCCACCATCACATAACCACTGAGTCGGATGATCACCTAGCCACGCCCACCCAGTCACATGACTACCTAGCCACGCCCACCCAGTCACATGGCCACCTAAGCCACACCCAACCAGTCACATGGCCACCTAGCCACGCCCACCCAGTCATATAACCACCTAGCCATGCCCACCCAGTCGGATGACCACCTAGTCACGCCCACCCAGTCACATGGCTATCTAGCCATGCCCACCCAGTTGGATGACCACCTAGCCACACCCACCATCACATGACTACCTAGCCACACCCACCCAGATAACACCTAGCCACACTCACCCAGTCACATGACCACCTAGCCACGCCCACCCAATCATATGATTACCTAGCCATGCCCACCTAGTCGGATGACCACCTATCCACACCCACCCAGTTGGTCTGGCCCCCCAACAGTTTGGGGGATCATAAATTGGCCCCGTTTAAAAAGGACTCCTGCTCTAAAGACTACCCTTAGGAATAGATTGTCAGGTAGTCNAAGTAACGGGAGCTCACTTCCTTACGCGGCACTAGGGATTCGCACCGCCAGCCTTTCTGATCGACAAGCTCAGCATCTTAGCGACTGCATCCCCTTTTTCTTACAGCCTGTCTAACTGAAGCCTTTTTTTAACCTGGTGCTCTCCCCCAGATGTGCTGGAGAACAAGATCCAGGAATCAAATGGCCCTGGCACCAGAGGGGCCTGCAATTGTGCAAGGAATCAAGTACAGGAAGGCCAGTTTAATCCCTGTTTTCTTCAGCCAAGCTGCTTCTTAATCAAGCCATTTTTTTCTCAAGTGAGAAAAATTAGGGTTTTTCTTCTCTGTACCTCTCTATCTCAAAAGCATTTGATTATGAACAAGAAACTCAGTGACTTACCTTTTTAATTTTTCGGTATTCTTGCAAGATCTGATCATGGATAGTCTGCAAAAGAATGACACATGCCACACATTAAAATTATTTTTAAAACCTTTCCTGCAGATTTCCTTCTGCAAAGGCAATCTGTGGGTTGAAGAGGTTGCTTTAGCTTACAGCCAAGATACTTTAGTTTCCTCTCTATCTTCTTCAACTGCCCAGAGAGGCCAGCTGCTGAAGTTGCAGGCCCAAGCCAGCCCCCTGAGCTCCCCACCTTGTATTCTTCCGAGCCCTGAGAAAGCTGCTTTAGTTCTGAATCCAGCTCCATGAACCGTCGAGTTATCCGCTCAATACGAGCATGCAGGTCACGATACTCGCCGTACTCCGCGTTGAAATCATTCTTGTAGCTCTGACGTTGCTCCGAGGAAGAGATGGCACCGTATTTTCTGGAGCAGCAATAAGAGTGAAAAATGAAAGAATCCCAAAGGAAACAATTACAGGTTAGTCCCTCAAGTTACGACGATAATGGAGGATGCCCGTAAGGGTTGTAAGTAAGTCATGATTGTCGTAAATGGGATCAGTCATGGGACAACCGGATCGTGGGACTTTTTGTGGTGGTTAAATGAACGTGGTGATTGTACAACAAACCAGTTTGCTATGGGCAGAGTTTTGTCAAAAACCTGAACTGAGTTCTATAAAATACAGTCATGTGACTGCAGGATGGGGCAAATGACCTAGAAATGGCTGGAACTGGGTTATATCTTCCCTTTTTCAGGTAGGTTGTAACTTTAAACTGTCACTAAATGAAGGGTTATGTGCAGTGGTGGGATTCAGCCAGTTCGGAAGAACTGGTTGTTAAATTGCTGACTGGCCACACCCCTTCCTTCCCCGCCCCTTCCATAAGTCCCCATGCGTCCCATTTTGGCTCCCAGGTAAGTGCAGGGAGGCCTACTGGGCCCAAAACAGGGCACGAGGGAGTGTGGCGCATCCCCCTCATGGCCCATTTTTGCTCCCAGGTGGTGCAGGAGGCCGAGTGCTGCCTGTCACACCCCCTGACCACGTCCACACCCACCCAGCCGGTCATTAGAGCAGAGAACTGGTTGTTAAATTATTTGAATCACACCACTGGTTATATCTCAAGGACTACCAGTAGGTAGCATTTGCATTTCACTTTCTTTTATAAGCCTAAGCCTTCCACACCCAGGGTAATGGATGACCATTATTGATAGTGCCCTTCCTCAGCCTGCTACTTTCCTAGAGGTCTCCAACCTTGGCAACTTTTAAAACTTGTGGACTTAAAACTCCCAGAATTTAAAGCAAAGCTGGCTGGGGAATTCTGGGAGTTGGAAGTCTACAAGCCTTAAAAGTTGCCAAGG